ATGAAACAGGATTCTAGTCCTCATGAAAGTTTTCAGTCTTCATGAAATAGGGTTCTAATCCTCATGAAACAAGAGTTTTTAGTCTTCATGAAATAGTTTTTAGTCCTCATGAAACAGGATTCTAGTCCTCATTAGTTTTTAGTCTTTATGAAACAGGATTCCAGTCCTCATGAAACAGGATTCTAGTCCTCATGAAAGAGTTTTTAGTCTTAATGAAACAGGATTCTAGTCCTCATGGAGCAGGATTTCTGGTCTTCATGAAATAGAATTCTGTTCCTCGTGAAACACGGGGCATCATAGAAAACGGGGCTGCTAGTCCTCAGGGAAACAGCACCCCCACCTTAAACCCCTTGCTCCCTCCGCAGTCTATATTGTCCTGGAGAACCGAGAGTAACAGCAAGGGCGCCCCACACGCCAAGAGCGCTACCCAGGCGCCGGAGGAGAGCGCGCAGATGTCGGAGGAGGTAGTGATCCGTGAAGACCTGCCAGAAATAGTGACTCACCTGGCCAGGCAGGAGCTGCTCAGCAAGTAGAGCGGAAGAAGGGGGTTGAGGTGTGTGTGTGTGTGTGTGTGTGGAAACTACGGCATAACTACGGGGGGGGGGGCTTTATTTTTTTAAAAAAAGATACCTGGAATGAACCCGGATAAGAAAAAAAGGAAACCCACAGAGCCTCCATGCCAGGAGTGAGAAATGAGAACAGCCCCAACTGGGACAGAGACCCCCCAACCGAGGGGATGGGGTGGTGGGGTGTCACAGGCCGGGTTGGGGGGTCCCCACCGGCCATCCGCCCCAACTGGCTGCTGCATTTACTTTTTATTTTGGTCTCGTAGCCGTATTAAACTGGACGGTACCCTTCGGATCTCCGAGCCTTTTTGAAAGAGGGCGGAGGGGAAAGTGGGAAGGGGAGGGGAAGAGGTTCTCCCCTCCTGGGGTAGGGAGGAAGGGACTCCTCGAATTAGGACCGTTCATCCAGCGAACCGTTCCAAACGACGGGGCCCACGAACCTATCCCTGTCGCGGTTGCGTGACGGCGGCCCTTTGGGCTCGCTGGCGTTCGGACCAGACCTCCGGGAACTACACTTGATCTTAGCCCCAAAGGCCGAGAAGCGAAGACATCCAGGAACGGCTGCACGGCGATCCCACGGGCACCTTGCTTACTGACCGCCCTAACGGGGGGGAGGGGGTGTCCCTTACGGTCGTTAAGTCGAGGACTACCCGTGCCATTTCCTTCCGGCGTTGCACGAACTGTCGTCTCAAGCCCACCTCCGATGTAAGGGCAGCAGGAAGTGCAAAAACGACGTGTTTTTTTCTCTCCCCTCCCCTCCCCAAACATTCTAATAAGAAAGTAGAAACGTGACTTCCCATTTCTCTTAAAACGCACCAGAGTGCAAAGGATCAGTGTGTGTTTCTCTCTGTGTGTCTGTCTGTGTGTGTGTGTGTTGCCTAATCCTCGATCTCCCTTTTGCTTTTGTAAGATCTTTCTGTTCACCGCAGGGTGGTGTTTGGATTATCCGGGCGCAGCCCCTTTAAAGGGCCTCCAACCAGAGGTGGGTGGGTATTCAGCCGGTTTGGACCGGTTCTGGAGAACCGGTAGTGTCAATTTTGGGTGATTCAGAGAATCGGCCAATCCCGCCTCTGACTGGCCCCGCCAACCCCATCTCTTCTCTGCCTCCCATTGAGTCCCGGCTGATCGGCTGGATCTCCTTTGGTTGCCCTGCACGGGAGAACGGAGCTGGAAAGCAGGTTAGCGGGGTGGGAAGAGAAAGGGGGATTTTGCAGTAACCTTCCCCTGCCACGCCCACCAAGCCACGCCCACCAAGTCATGCCTTCAAAAAAAGACACACACACACACAACTTGGCTGCTCTCAGTGGCCGGTCTTATAGGGGTGGGGGGGAGGGTGTTCAAGAGGGCCCCCTGCCTTCTGTCTTGGGAAGGGGGCTCGCGAGTCCGTCGCAGGGACCCGGTGACGCCCCCCTGCCGCGATTCTGCTGAATGTGCTGCAGCAGCATCGCCGTTGCCCTCTCCAAAACGGGTGGCAACACCTCCTGCTCTGCGTCGGTGAAGCGGCTTAGGACGTAGTCTTCGACGGAGGCCTTCGCTGTCGGACGGCCGATGCCAATCCTGAGCCGCACCATGCGCTGCGAAGAAAAAAAAAAAAGGCATGAAGGATTCTGTCAAGCCCCTCCAGCGTCATTCGATCAGCTGACCCCTTTTCCTCTTCTCAATAGGGCCCTGCCCCAATTCGCCTCCCTCTGCTCAGCAGAGGGAAACTGACTAGACCGTGCGCGCAGGCAGGCAAGTTCTAACCATGCACAGCATAGCTTTTGAAGCAGGCGTTTTAGCCTGGCAACCGCCACAACCGGTGTCATTTTTAACCAGGCTCTACCCAAGCAAGAAATCGAACCGTGCCAAGCACGTGAAGGGGGATTGCCCGGGATAAGCTGAGATAGCCCTGGCTTGCTGTGATGTAGGATTTCAGCCAAGGATCTCCCGTTCCGACGGCGACACGAGGGTGTAAGAAAGGGATCGGAAAGCAAAATTAAGGCTTACATCGGAGTGCAGGCAGCTGATGCAGGAACGGACTCCGTTGTGACCCCTGAAAGATAAAACGAGGCCTGTGAGATCCCGTCGTTCCTTCAAGATAAGGTTTATTTCAGTCCATTCCTAGCTTAATTGTGGCTTAAAGACCTGGCTAACTTCATGCTAAGCCCAGAATGAGCCAGCCCCTTTAGAGGTATGAATCCCAGTCAATGGGAGCTAGACTGGAAACAACACACCGCCAACAAAACACCCTGAGAACAGCACAAAAGGATGGGATGTGGAATTGTTATAATTCTGCTTAGTTTGTCGAACTAGGATTGCCTGGCTGATTAAGTGGGATCAAGTCAGGTCTCTTAATGACCATCTAGGTTTTAATAAAAGGGAATCTCTCTAGTTCGGGGTTGAAATGGTCCTTGGCGCTTTCTGAAGTTGGTTGTTTTCTTGCAGACATTTCATGACCCAACTTGGTAACATTATCAGTGCTAGAAGGAGGTGGGATGGGGAGGAGGACGAACAAGAGGAGGATGAGGACTGGTCTCTTTGGGTGCTGTCTGAGCTTGGTTGTTTTCTTGCAGTCATTTTATTACCCACACTAGGTAACTATCATCAGGGCTAGGAAGGAGTGAGGAAGAGGAGGAGGAGGAGGAGGAGAGGAGGAGGAGGAGGAAGGCTGTGGGGGTCCTTGGTGCTCTCTGCGTTTGCTTGTTTTCTTGCAGACGTTTCATGATCCAACTAGGTAACTTCATCAGTGCTGGTAAAGAATGGGTTTGCTTTCAATTTATATTTTGGTAGCTTGCCCTGTCAGTGCACCGATAATATTACCTGGTCTGGGTAATGAAACGTCTGCAAAGAACTCTCCTCTCCTCTCCAGAATGAAATATCTTCATTTTTTTCCAAGCCTCTCTTGTGGTTCTATTCACTGCTCTTGCAATCAAGTCGCTCTACTTAGATGAGCCTGTAGTAAGAACTATGGGCTGTTTTTCCTGGGGTGGATTTGTTTTCCTCCCTATGTTTAAAAAACAATAACTTTCTACGGCTCTTAAACGGTGAATAAGGAGTCTGCAGGTGCCTGTAAAGATAATGGTTTGGCATCAAATACCTGGCACTGCCACCTAGTTTTAGGGAGATCTTCCCCAGGGGCTTATCCAGATCATCGTGGACCAGGTAGATATCTTCAATGTCCAGGTTGTATTTTTCCACTGACGAGAGAGAAGAGATGAGTCAGTGGCCGAGGCCAATCTAGTAAGAGACAAGTGGTTGGATTAGGCTTTTTTTTTTTTTTTGCAATGTTGATTCCAGAGAAAGCACCCACCCCAAGTTCTCCAAACACAGAAGACGCAGGTTTGCGGAGGGAAGGGAAGACAAGTGGCATTTCCAGATATTTGATTATTTCTTAGGGTTATAGGAAGGATGTGGCTATGAGACAGGACAAGAAGTGGAAAATGTCATCAGTGTGAGAACATTATTAGTGTGAGATCCTTCCCTCCCTCCCTCCCTTCCCTTCCTACCTCCTTCCCATTTCTGTCTCCTTCCTCCCTCCCTGTCATTTCCGTCTCCTCCCTCCATCCCATTTCCATCTCCCTCCCTCTCTCCCTGCTTTCCCTTCATTTCCATCTCCTCCCCTCCCTCCTTCTCTCGCTCCCATTTCCATCTTCTCTTCCTCCCTCTCATTTCCATTTCCCTCCCTCCCTGTCATTTCCCTCTCTTTCTCCCTCCCATTTCCATCTCCTCCTTCCCTCCTTAATTTCCATCTCCTCCGTCCAAAATTCATACATTGCTATATGATTTGTTTTTTAGACAATGTTCGGGTAAACCACGGTTCCCTGTCTTAACTGCCTGTGTGCACAAACCAAGCCACAACACACATGTTAGTCTTGCTTTTGGATTCCATGATGGTTCTTCAGTTCATTGGGTGACCTACAAACTAATTGGATGACGAGCAATGAAAGGTTGACCAACCGCAGGAAGGAATGTGGTTGGGACGGTGGTGTATATAAGAGGCTTAAAAGGTTCACAAATGTCGTACCAGCTGAGGCCAACGAGATCCCATTGAGGTTCATGAACTTGCGGGGTTTCATCAGCAGAAGCTCAGCCTCCCCTAGACGGGCCACCACCATGTCCGCGCAGCATCGCTTGTCTCTTTTCCACTGGTCAGCCACGTCCAGCTTGGAGGCCAGGTGGTTCAGCACCGCCATACCCACGCTGTGCCGGGTACCAGGGAACGTGTGGTTGCCCAGGCCAGCCACCTGCAAAGGAAGAGGAGAAGCAATGAACGGTCCAAAGGGATGAATTTGCATTGCTGGTGGTCTTCTTTTTCTCTAACCTTCTCCAGATTGCTAGAGATGTTCTACAGATCATATTGTCCCCAAGTTTTGGAGCCTGGGGCTGGGACCACAAAGTCCAGGAAGCCAAGCTGGGCAAGATTCCCTAATTTCATTCCTGTTAAATCCAGCTTTTCAAAATCCAGCTTTTTCCTTGGTCGCAAACCATCCAGATGTTTATAGGAGGAAGGTAGAACATTGCCTTGTGAGTGGTGGAAACTAGGGACAACAGCTGCAACTCTTCCTAATTGGAGACAAAACTGAGATCTAATCTGGTTATTAATGCAAGCCTGTTTAGCCCAAAACATATGGAAGGAACTGCTGGCACGCTGCCCTATCTTTATTTAAATGTCTTTTCCTATCTTTATTTAAATGTCTTTTCCCTTCCTGACCCGCATATGGAAGGTTTCCGTTACAAAGAACCGGAAGTCGTATGTGATAGCCATGCCTGCTTTACCTCTTTGGGTTGCCCGGTCGAATTGACCCACTCAACCCGGAAGCGATCATTTCCAAACCGGAAGGAGCCTGGCCATGATGGCGTTCGCTTGAAAGCGGCGGACTTACCATCACCGGTTTGTAGCTCGTCGTTTGTAGCTCGTCGCTGCGGTGACTCAGAGCCCAGCGCAGGAGTTGTCCGAGGGGCTGAGGGCGCATCATGGCCTCTCCGCCTCGCCTTTCCCCCCCACACTTCCCGAAGGCCCACTTCCGGGGCCGGCCGCAAAGTGTTTTTTTTTTTTAAAAAAATGCCGAGCTCTGCGGCGCTGCCTTTGCCACCTGGCTCAGTATGACGTCATCAGGCTTGTGGCCTATCGCGGGATGCCTGGCAGGAAGGTTTTCCAGCGCCATCTTTCTTAGGGGCGGAAGCTCGAGTGTTCTTTAAGGGAAGCTCAAATCTCCGCAATGAAGTAGTATAATAAAAACTCTTAAAAAGATGCAAATATGTGACTTGCTGCTTTGAAAGTTAGAAATTAAAGTCAAAGCCTTTAGGCTGTAATAAAATAGTAGTAGCAGTAGTAATAACAACAACAAAACACCAACAATAATAATAACTTCCATCTAGCGGCGATATCGGTAGCACCATCAAACACCCAGATGATAATTATTAACAAAACAACAACAACAACAACAACAACAACAATAATAATAATAATAATAATAATAATAATAATAATAATAATAATAATAATAATAATAATATGATGATGATTTGATACCTAAGATTTTATTTTATTTTATTTATTTATTTATTTATTTGATTTGCCAATTGTTTACAAGATAATAAGTATAAGTGTATACATAGTTGTGAATACATGAAATGGGTACATATAAGAAAAATAAAAGAAGAATAAGAGAAACAATAGGACAGGGACGGTAGGCAGGTTGGTGCGCTTATGCACGCCCCCTACAGACCTCTTAGGAAAGGGGTGAGGTCAATAGTAGACAGTCTAAGGTTAAAGTTTTTGGGGTTTGGGGAAGCAACCCATATCAACCATCAATGTCAGTCAATGATATTTGTGATACATTTTTAAGTGTTCAGTTGGCTAAGTTTCATGTCTGATGAATAAATGAGATAGTTAGTACTAGTAGCAGCAGCAGCAGCAGCCACCTTCAGAAGGACTTGATAGGACTTAATAAAAGTGCCAAATCCAGTCTCAATGTCTGGCTGATTGTGCAGTCAACCATAATAATAATAATAAATAAATTATATTATTTAGTAAATAGTATAAAGTTACTAAATTTGCACTGTAAATAAATGCCTTAAGTGTACTAAATAAATAGGAATAAAAACAACATGAATGGGGGTCAGAGTTGAAAACATGGGGCTCTTTAATGAGAAAAAAAAGCAGCTTTGAGGCAGATGGTCATCTTATTCCTATATGGCATCCTTACAAAACGTAAGCTGGGATCTCCGTTCTAGCAGAGGTTTTTTTTTTTCCAGATGAAAAATGTTTTGAAAAACATACTTTTCCGAGGTGACCTCTCAGAACAAAAGGCATATCAAGATGTTAAGTATTTTGTGAAGTGCAGGAAGTCCTCTAAAGCGACTACAATTGGAACTAGGAACTCGATTGTTCAGCATAGATTGTCCTTAAATGAAAACATGATGGTGCTTTCGATCTTAAGCTTTCATTTGCTTTACAGACTTGCAGAGGTGGTAAATGCAAAATCCTGGCACTTGCCTTCTGAGGCTCTTTAATGATGTAATGATGTGTGTGTTGGCTTTTTTTTGCATTTTCTATAGCCCTTTGGTGGGTTTTAATTCTGGAAGTTGCTTTGAGAATCCTTTTAGGGAAGATCTGAAACAATTTTTTCCTCTAGGTCAAGGCAATAACGAATGCAAGCTACATAAGTGACTTTTTGACTTTAGAGAATGTTAAAACTAAACTTAAGCCTCTTCCATGCAATCTTTCTGTGCTCTGAAGGCTTGGGGGCCTAACAAAGAAACCTCCTTTTTTAAATTCCTCTTTTCTTCTCTAGCAGCCAACGGGAAGTTTGAGCCCGCCAAGCGGTTGACATAGAAACCAGGGGACGCAAATTACAGAGTGGTTGGAGGAGTGATGGAGGATGAAGAAGAGGTCGAAGAACCCAAAGCAAAGGTGAAGGTGAGGAGGAGGTTGCACCCTGGCCGAGATCAAGCGGGTCGGATGGAGTAGGAGACGTGCGGTTGGAGAAAATAGTATCGGCTGTCTTGTAGTAATGTTGCCTGCAAACCTTCCTCTCAAAATTCTGCAGATCCTTTGTGGGAAATCTTGCCCCATAGTCTGCAGTTCTTATAGGGATTTTGCAGAAATACCAAACCAGTTTTGCAAGTAGTGCGGTGGCCCAGAGGTGGAGTTCCCACCTCACAATTAGGAGACTGTGAGTTTGATTCTGGGTAGAGGCAGATATTTCTCTCTCTGGGCATCCGGCCAATAAGTGCTCAGCTCCATTCAGTTGCTCAGACTCTACCCAGTAAGGGATTATGGGTGCATTAAAAGAGGAGGAGGAGGAGGATGACTAAACCAGCTTTGCTTTTTTTTCAGAGGAGCCCCCGGTAGACGTTTGCTTTTAAAGAGGCCCTTTTGTGTTAGTTTAGTTATTCAAATAGGCTGGATATCCCGCTGTTTTCCAATCAAAACGAAGCGGTTCTCCTTGGCCAACGGGGGGAAAACGCCCTGCCTTACGTCCGGAGGACCCGCTGACTTTTGTCATCCTTCCTATCCTGCAGGAGGTGAAGATGTCGACGATTGTTATGACGCTCTTCCCTACAGCCGTCAGCGAAGAGAAGCTTCAGGAATCCAAGGAAAAAGCCATCACTCGCATTTTTGGGCCCGCAAAGACTTTGCTGAAGGTTAAAAACCCCCAAAGAGCAGGAGATTATGAAAGCATTTTGAACAGGAAAATAGACGAGCAGTACGTGCTAGTTTTCTCCCCATCCCTAAAAACACGGATCAGGGAATAATCTGTAATTTGCTTTTAATTTTTTTTAAGCTGAGTTTAAAACTGGGTGAGGTTTGCATTAATTTATTCATGGTGTAGTGAATAGTGCGATGACCTGGGGCATGGCATGAGGGCAACACAGCCAGAGAACAGGTGTGAGTCCCTTTATTTGCTCCAACTTTGCCCCCCAACATCCTGTTTACTCTCCGGCCTGAAAAAAAGCTCTCTCACGAACCTGCAACAGCCTTCTGGCTGCAGATACTTCAGTCCAAACACTGTAAGCAGAAGGCAATCAATCACTCCAGCAGGGCAAGATAAATGAGTCCAATAATTCCAGCAAGGCAAGATAAGCCAGCAGAAGCACGGCAATAATTCAAACAGTCAGAAGGAATGCCAGGAACGCAGGCCACAACTCTCAACACTAGATGAACTCAGTGTTTGTTCCCGACAAACACCCCTCCCAACTGCCTCTCCTTTAAACTCTCTTCCCAGGTGTGCCTTGTGAAGGGAATCAGGGCCCGTTCCTCCCCCGTAAGCCATGCAACCCATGTTGCTCTCTTCTCCATTCCTCCCTGCGCGCCGTAGGATGAGGAGGGGAGTGGGCCTGCGCCTTCCTCTGAACTCCCTCTCTTTCCTCTGAACTCCCTCTCCCTTGTTCTACCTCTCCCCTGCTCTGCCCAGCCTGACTTTGCCCTTCCCCAGTTTCCTCCACAGCCAATGGAGCCACACTCCCACTCCCTGTCAGCTGTTCGTCTTCCGTCTCGGATTCACACTCTGACGGGGGCGTGAGAGATAGCCCTTGACTTACGAACCTAAAATTTATGAGGTTAAATGAGATTGCTTATTAAGTGAGGTTTGCCTCATTTTATGACCGTTCTCACTGCGCACTTGTGAAGTGAATCCCTGCAGTTGTTTAAATTAGTAACACAGGGATTACATGACACTGTGACTGTCGTAAATATGAATCAGGGGGCCAAGTCGACACATGACCATGGGGAGGCTGCACTGGTCGTAAGTGTGTAAAACCGACATGAGTTACTTTACTCAGTAAACTTTGAACGTTCAACAAAAGAACTATTGTAAGTCAAGGACTAGCCTGTAGGCCTGTAGGGTTTGCTTGTGTCCAATTTTTATTTATTGATTTATTTTTTAAACAAAATTTATTCGGTTTTTAAACAGTTTAAAAACATAGCAAAAAATACACAATTCTATCAACATTGAAGACATCATTCACATTTCTTAATCTTATACTTAGTTTCCTATTACATGACAATTATTACATATTACTTTCCCTATTAATTCACTATTTCTTATTCCATATTTATGTAATATATTACATAATATATTTTCTGTTGATTCTACATTCAGTCTATGTAACTTCATATCCTTTACTTCATTACAGTACTACTTTTTTTCCTATTCTAAAACCATGCATACCAGGCGTCCCAGACTGAGTAATATATCAATTCCTCTTTATCGTTTAATTCTAAGGTCAGCCTGTTCCATTTCTACGCAGTCCAATATTTTCTATCGCTGCTCCCTCTTGTGGCGTATTCTCCCTGTTTCCAGCGTTGTGCATATGAGATCCTAGCAGCAGTTATGTAAAATGATATATATCTATCGGTTTTACTATATTTTCCTCTTATTACGTCCAATAAAAATGAATTTCTGGTTGAAATTCAATTTTTTGTTTTAGTATTTCTTCCAGCCAAATTCAAATCTTATTGCAATATTTTTTTAACTTCTGGGCAGGTCCACCAGATATGAAAGTATGTACCCCTTTCTTTCTTGCATTTCCAGCATTCCGGATTTTGATTCGCAAACATTTTTGCCAATCTGGCGGTGGGTAGATGCCACCTATAAAACATTTTGCACATATTTTCTCTATACGCTGTACATAGTATTAGTCTATAATTTGTCCCCCACATTCTTTCGCAATGTTCCAATTTTAATTTATGAAACACATTGATGTGTTTTATTTGTTTTTCTTTTTTTCTTTTTCCTTGGTTGTTTTGATTGGTCTTTTTTTTTTTTAACATTTGCTTTTTGTAACCTTCCTTGTTATGGCTTCATTTTTTACAGTTGTGTGCTGTTACAGTACATCCATCTGCCTGTCCTAATTCTTTGGAAAGGACTCGATAGGTTGTCAGAAATGCCAAATCTGGTCTGAACATCTGGCTGGCTGTGCGATGGAATCATAATCATGGTCAACTCGTAAAGCATTCCCGGTCTGCTCTTGAGTTGCCATAGGCAGGAGAGGGGAGAACTGATGGAGAGAAGCTCAATTGCTATGACCAGAAGCCCATTCCATGCATACCTTTCTCCAGATTGTATCCCAGATTACTAGACCAAGCCGGCGTGTTTTCTACAGCCCGAAAAAGTGCTGTGTTGGAGAATGTGATTTATGACGCACCCTGGGAGGACGGGGAAACAGGGTGATAGATGGCCAGTAAATTATGTGGGGCAGAGCCGACAGCACTTGGGGAAAGTGCCAACATGTTGCTCCTTATAAATAATTGGATTTCTTTTGAAACTTGGCTGGAGGGTCATGAATTTGGGCATCCGTTCAGAACCCTGACAGCCGTAATATTTCTGCCTGGATCCTACTTGGCCTGATTAGAACCTGGGGCCCAATCCAAAACTAAATCCCAAGCAACCCAAATTAGATACTTGGTTGATACTTGGGATGCTGGCAGCAACCTGTATCAACATCATGTTTCATGAATAAAAGAGATAATTTTTATTTTCTGGGTTTCTTGGGATTTACTTTAGGATTGGACCTCAGGTTCTAATCAGGCCAAAGAGGATCCAGGCAGAAATAACCGAAAAGAAAAGAAAAATAGTTTCAGACAAGCAATGCATATTTCTTTTGCCTAAAGAGAAAATCACACACAGCCTAACGTTAGCATTTATGGCTTGTTTTTGAGCAAAACATGGCTAAAATCAACGTGAACGGGATGCTTCAGTCTAGGCAGGCAAATTGTTGGGCTTTCATTCTTCTTCCAAATGTTGAAAGATGCTTCGGGCTGGCGAGAGATGGATGGGCCTCCGGTCCCAACACCTCTGGTTTCCTTTTGGATTTTTTTTTTTTACAGCTGCCGAGAAGGAGATCTGTACTTCTCCCAAGGGGAATGGGAGGAAGCGATCACTCGCTACACCAAGGCTCTGAATCTGGATCCCAACAAGGTAGGTGTGGGGATGGAGGATGATAATAACTATAACTAATAACTATAACTATAACTATAACTATATATCTATGTCTATATCTATAACTATAACTATAACTATAACTATAACCATAACTATATAACTATAACTAAACTATAACTATAACTATAACCATAACCATAACCATAACCATAACCATAACTATATAACTATAACCATAACCATAACTATATAACTATAACTATATAGCTATAACTATATAACTATAACTATATAACTATAACTATAACCATAACCATAACTATATAACTATAACCATAACTATAACTATATAACTATAACTATAACCATAACCATAACTATATAACTATATATAACTATAACCATAACCATAACTATATAACTATAACTATAACTATATAACTATAACTATAACTGTAACTAAACTGTACTATACTATACTATACTAACTATACTATACTATACTATACTATACTATAATATAATATAATATAATATAATATAATATAATATAATATAATATAATATAATATAATATAATATAATATAACATACTGCAGAAGGATACCTTACTGGGATCTTCTTGCATAATCCGCCGATACATCACACAGTCCTAAAGGCTTGGGAAGTGTTCGACTAGTGACTTGTGTACGAAACCCGGCATAGTTATCTCCTTTGCTGTGTACACTGTCATTTTTTTTGGTGTATAATACCTCTCTCTCTATAAAAGCAAAATACCACTCACGCGTCATCACAAATTCTCCAGAACCCTAAAGCCTACAAACTTGAACTGTGGCCCGTATGTTCCTCTTGGATTAAAAAAAACCTAAGAAAAACCTAAGAGAGGGTTTTTCAAAATGACCATCAGAGCGTTACTATTTCCTATGTTATTATTATTAACACGCTCTGATGCTAAGGAGTTCTACTCCCCCTCCCCACCTGAAAATAAATCTCTTCCAAATGCAAAACACAATCAGAAGAGAGGAGTTTCACTTTCACTTTCAGAGCACCAAGCAGCTTTAGTACAGAACAGTTGAGCTAAGCCACGCCCAGGCTCCTTGCTGTCTTCTTGCTCACCCAGCAAATACCGTTTCAGTTTCCAAACAGCCCTCTCACACACGGACAGGACGCTAGCCAGATGAATACCGATGGATGCTGGTAGACAGAGGCAGAAGTTCTCCTCCCCTTATTTTCCTCCCCAAAAACTGAGCCCAACCACATAGGTTTCGTAGCAAAGCATGGATATCGAGCTCCACCAACACGAACAGCATTATTGTTAAACATTTTTTTTCAACAATAATGTTAAAAATAATAACAATAACGTAGTTCACGTTGGTGGTGCTGTGGGGCCTTCTAAGCGACCTGGGTGAGGTATCTAATGGAGAAGCTAGTTTTACTGTTGGGGTGGGATTTTAAGGGGTGTATGGACTTCAACTCCCAGAATTCCTCGGTGGACCACCAGTGCCAAGGGCCTTCCGAAGGCCATTGTGGGTTCTTCCTCTCCCTAGGGAGAACTTTACGAGAGGAAAGCGGAAGCCTTTCTCCAGCTTTGTGACTTCCAATCTGCCGCGATGCACCTTCGGAAGGTCTATCACATGTCGCCGAAGGAGGGGACCCGAGAACGGCTGGCCTTCATTGTATTCATACAGGTGGAGTTGAGGATATCCTTGGAAAGGCTTGCTTTCCTTCCTTCCTTCCTTCCTTCCTTCCTTCCTTCCTTCCTTCCTTCCT